AAGTACCTACACTTGGAAATAAATCTCTTCCTTTCTTGGAAGGATAAGTCATCATTAGTATCTAGCCAAGTAATTAGCAATATCGGCATACCAAGGCACACGATCAACAAGAAAAGCATGCTCATAAGGAAATGAATCATCAACATCGGGTGAATCACAAGAACTCGAAAGCAATGTAAGGCGTGACAAATGATCGACAACAACGTTTTCACTACCTTTTCTATCCATTATCTCAACATCAAATTCTTGCAAAAGAAGCACCCAACGAATTAGCCTAGGTTTTGATTGAGCTTTAGCTAACAAATGCCTTAATGCCGCATGATCACTATACACGATAATTTTATACCCCACCACATATGCACGAAACTTTTCTAATGCAAAGAAAATAGCTAAAAACTCTTTTTTGGTAGTAGTGTAATTAACTTGAGCATCATTGAGAGTCATGCTAGCATAGGCGATCACGTGATGTCGTTTTTCGACCTTTTGCCCCAAAACGGCTCCCACCGCATAGTTAGAAGCATCACACATGATTTCAAAAGGAAGGGACCAATTCGGGGGCATCACAATTGGTGCCGTAATCAACCTACGTTTTAGTTCATTGAAAGCATTCATGCACTCATTATTGAAATCAAAAGGTACGTCAAGAGCAAGCAAGGCACACAATGGTCGGGCTATTTTCGAAAAATCCTTAATAAACCTCCGGTAAAAACCGGCATGCCCGAGAAAACTACGAATTCCTTTGACATTTACGGGGGGTGGAAGTTGCTCAATCACATCAACTTTAGCTTTATCTACTTCAATGCCCTTAGATGAAATGACATGACCAAGCACATTACCACTAGGGACCATAAAATGCGATTTTTCCCAACTAAGGGTCAAGTTATTCTCAATGCATCGATCCAACACTTTGCCCAATTTATCAAGACAATCATGAAACGAATCACCAAACATGGAAAAATCATCCATAAATATTTTTCAATAAATTCACCTATCATATCCGAAAAGATAGAAAACATGCACCTTTGAAAAGTGGCGGGAGCGTTACAAAGTCCAAAGGGCATCCTCCGGAAGGCAAAAGTGCCAAACGGGCATGTGAAGGTGGTCTTTGGTTGATCTTCCGGTGCAATCGGGATTTGGTAGTACCCCGATAATCCATCTAGGAAACAATAGTAGGGGTGGGCGGCTAGCTTGTCGAGAAGTTGATCAATAAACGGCAAAGGGAAGTGGTCCTTCCTTGTGGCGGCATTGAGCTTCCGGAAATTGATGCACATGCGCCACCCCGTAGTGGCTCTCGTTGGTACAAGCTCGCCCTTGTTGTTCTCCACAATCGTGATTCCACTCTTCTTCGGGACCACGTGTACGGGGCTCACCCACTCACTAACCGCCACGGTATAGATAATCCCCTCTTGTAACAATTTAAGAATCTCCCCTTTTACCACCTCCATCAACGTAGGATTCAATCGCCTTTGACCCTCCCGGATTGGCTTGGACTCATCCTCAAGAATAATTCGGTGCATACATGTGGTCGGGCTTATTCCCTTGATATCACTCAAACTCCACCCGAGAGCATCTTTGTTTGCCACGAGGACATCCACAAGTAATTTCTCCTCCTCAATCGAAAGTCCCGAGTAAACGATGGCGGGCTTCTTCTCATTTTCTTCGAGAAAGATATACTTGAGGTGTGGTGGTAACGGTTTAAGCTCGTTCGAAATTTCCCGGGGTTCGGGTTCTTTGGAGATCTCAATAAGGTCCACCACACCTTCTTCTTCGGGATCAAGCTTCTCCGGCTCCTTTTCGTCGGGAACTCCACACTCACAAGAGACATCGGCATGGAAAAGGTTGTGGACTTCCGCTTCGATCACATCAACATATGAGCAACTCTCGGTGAACGACGGTGTTGTCTTTGCCTCGCTCATTGTAAAAGTGACCGTTTCACCTAGAGCCGATAAGGTGACTCACTCGTCTTTGACATTGATAAGAGTGTTGGTGGTGGCCATAAACGGGCGGTCAAGCAAGATGGTGTGCTCATTCCCGGTATTTGGGACCTCTCCCACATCAAGTACCACAAAATCCGCCGGTACAATCAAGTTACCTACCCGAATCAAAATATCCTCAATAACTCCCTTCGGGTAGCGTAATGTGCGATCCACCAATTGCAAACACATCCTCGTAGGCTTGAGATCTCCCAACTCCAATTGTTTGAAAATCGAATATGGCATAAGGTTGATCCCGGCTCCTAAATCAAGCATTCCATTAGTCTCCTTTTCGTTTCCGAGGGTTATCTTGATCACAAAACCCCCGGGATCACATTCTTTCCTCGAAATCGTGGTGGAAGCTACTTCGGAGATCATGACCTTTTCATTATCCTCAAACCTCCTTTTCTTCGAGGCCAAATCCTTAAAGAATTGAACATACGCTGGGACGTTCTTTATCACATCAAGTAGAGGAAGGTTCACATTTACCTTGGAAAGCATATCGAATAGATCCTTGAATTGGCGGTTTCTCTTGGTGTCTTGAAGTCTACTCGGGTAAGGTACCGGTGGGCGGTATGGTGTAGCCGATTTATGCAAAGTATCAAGGCTATCGGGTTTGGTTTTCTCCTTCGGTTCCTCCTCGATCATCACCTTCTTGTTCCTCCCGGAGTCCGTCATAACATTCAACTCCTCCTCGTCATCTTTGTCATCAACATCCTCAACCATCCCATCATTAGGCATCTCAACCCGATTATCCACCACTTTACCACTTCGCAAAACCGTCACGGCTTGGGCTTGCTCGGGTTGGCTCGGGAGTCGGTCCTTCTTGTTGTTTCTTTGCATCTCACCAATGGACGTCCCAAGTTGCCCCATTTGTGTCTCAAGGCATTTGAGAGAAGCTTGGATTGAAGGTACGCCCTTGACCGTTTCATAGAGAGTGGACACGGTTGAAGCAAGGCTTTGAAGATACTTCTCCATGTTGTCAATTCGAGGGTCCGAGATAGGTGCCTTAACTTCTTTTTCGGGTTCCGGTGGAGGTGGCATTGGTTGCCTCGGGACAAATCCTCCACGCCCTTGTTGGTACCCTTGAAACTCGGGCCTCGGTTGATATCCTTGAAACTCGGGCCTCGGTTGATATGGTGGTCGGTTGTTGGGTGGTGCATATTGTTGATGTTGGGGATAGTCTTGTTGTGGAGCCGGTTGGGGTGCATACCCCACTTTTGGGTCCCGCCATGAGAAGTTGGGGTGGTTTCGCCACCCGGGGTTGTACGTGTTCGAATAAGGATCATTTTGAACCCGGGGTGCGTACCCTTGAATGGCGTTGATATCGTAAGGAACCCCTTCGAGGTTAGGATCGTAGCCCGACTCCATATAGCGTGGACATTCATGCCCTCCATGTCCCGTCTCGCCGCAACAACCACACACTTCGGCCATCACCACTTGAGTGGATTTCACATCTCTCAACCTTAATTGTTTAAGTTCTTCCTCCAACGAGGCTAACTTGGCAAGCACAGCATCGTTTGAGGACCCGGTTGATGGGGTATCTTCATTTACGGGAGTCCTCTTACGCACGCTCTTTCGTTGGGAGTTCTCACTCAACATTTCGTAAAGCTCGTAGATCTCCTCGGCCGTGTGGCTCCCAATGTCTCCTCCGGCCGCATGATCGACCATGTATTGAAGGGTTTGATGGAGACCGTCGTAGAAGAATTGATTTAGTACCCCGAGGCAAAAGTGATGATGGGGGCATTGGAGTTGATATCCTTTAAACCGCTCCCATGCCTCGTGAAAGGTCTCCCCGACATTTTGGCCAAAGCTTGCTATTTGGGATCGGAGATCGGTAGTCTTTTGGTGTGAGTAGTACTTGCCCATGAACTTCGCATATACGGCTTCCCACGTGTTAAGCGAATTCGGAAGCAACGTCATGAACCAATTTTTTGCTCGATCTTTCAATGTGTAAGGGAAACACCTCATTCGAAGTTGATTCTCGGTTAGTCTCTGGAGGGGAAATGTGTTGATGGTTGCATAGAAGTCTCGAATGAAATTGAGAGCATCTTCTTGGGCGAGGCCATAGAATGAGGGAAGTTGGTTTAGATGGATGATCTTAAGGTCGTAGTTTCGGGCCGCCTCCCCGAGCACGAGACATGACGTGTTGTCTCCGATGATAGGCCGTGCAAAATATCTCATGTTCGGGGGAGGTGGTGGTGGCAATTGGTCTTCTTGTCCCGCCATCGGTTCGGGTTCGGGTTGCGGTTGAGGTTCTTCGATATTAAGTTCAACAAAGAGATCGAATGGGGGCGTC